ACGAATAGGATAAACACTGTGTGACTACTTGGTACTTTTAAAGCAAAGTATTTGTAACAATCCAAACAAGTAGGTAGTAATGAAATGCAGATGTTTAATGTTACTTCATATAAATGTAGCTAACAAAGTATAGCATTATTACAGCATTATTACTGACATCTGCTGATGCTATTTTCATTTCTGGTGCTGCTGTTATTAGTATAGAATCAGATACTTGTTGAACTACACACTTTACGCCAAACCACGTTCACTCCACCTTAATATATCTATTCCTCTTTTTGTCTCGTCTAGTGTAGTTACATGTTTGTGTCTTGTTTTGTAAGTTGATTATTGTAATCTTGTATTGTGCACCATGGGCCTTGAGAAACTTTGTTCATTTGTGTACTTGATATGTGGATGAATGACAACAAACAAACTTGAACTTGCAGCCAAAAAACGTCCTGCTCAACTTCCAGACCTCAGTCAGAAAAGGAGATGTTAGCTAGCGCTAACTGCCTATATATATGTCAGAGGTCGCACGCCTCTGGAGCAACTAGAGGTTAAGTGTCTTGCTCAGGGACACAATGGTGGATGTGTCACAGTTGTATCTAAAAATCAATTCTTTTCCACACCCCTAATTTCTAGTAGGTTATTTCATTATTTCAATTCTACTTAATTCTCCACCTTATTTTAAGTGTTCACATGGATCAAAACCAACATGGTACTAAATGACATCTGCAGTGGTGCTTTAACTGTCGCTGCTTCTGTGCTTTTAAAATTTCCACAGTGTCCATGACAGGCTGACAGGAATGTTAACCTCTTTGATATTAAACATTTCCCACCATTTTTGTGATTCACACAATTAACCACACAACAACTCCCCTTCAACTCCTCTTACCATAGTTCTCTGTGAACCTGTTTTCTACCTCTTATCTGTATGCACATCTTGAAATAGCGTTGCTGGGAAACTGTCTATACAGCAAGGATATTGCAAACATACTGTGAATTCATCATGTGGCGTTATTTCCTTATTCAATAAACACTTTACCGTTATTGCCACATATCTATAGCCTATGTCACAATCCAAAAAAAGAGACAGTGTTTAAACTACAACACCCACTGTGAGTGGGTTGATTCTGAGTGTGGACTCGGGAGCAGTCTCAAGATCAAAACTACGCAAGACAATCCACATCTAAAAGAGGTTTTTCCAAAAGAAACAAATTGTAACCATTGCACACGATTAATTTTCCAATGATAAATCCAGTGTATCATTTTATATAGATACACACACATACGCAGGAGCACGGCGTAGGTGACGGCGTAGGGTAAGGGGCTACGCAGAGGCTACGCCGTCGATTTGACGCAGAAGTATACCTTACCTCCTAACTACTTATAATGTATAAAGTAGCCTACTCTATGTTTCCATTAACACATTTAATAAAAAAAAGAATAATAAAAAGAAATCATGCTTAAGTTAAACACTAAACGAAGTAAAGTAGCCAGCCAAAGCCAAAGTTAGCCAAACAGCTAGCTAAAACACTGACCTGTGAGGATGAGACTTCAGTCATGATGAGCTGCACTCGGCAGTAGTCGGACTTCTTCATTCTGTATGTGACATGTCTTCTGTTTTGTCCAGCGTTCTTAAAGTTCCTGAATTCAAGGCAATAATCATGGTGCAGATCCAGCGAAATCCCAAGAAGGCTTGAGCGTTGTGTTTGGATCTGTATCCATCGTCACACACCTGTGTCTGTTAAGTTCCAGCAGCAGTTTCTGACTTGCACTCCTAGACCTGCGCCACCAATAGTCAAGGAATGGAATTGCAGGCAAAAGATAAAGTAAGCCACTTTCTATGCAGCCACCTGCCAATGTCCAGGTAGAATAGGGCTTTCTCCCATTATGTAGCTAGGTCTAAAGGTGTAACACCAAAATCTGTGACCCATCAGATTCTGTGACTTACAACACTGGTGTTGTAACAAGGTATGTAAGCCATCAGATTCTATGTCTAAACACACTTTTTCCTAAACCTAAGTGTTATGAGTTGTATTTTTTTCCTGTGGGTTTTCTGAGTTTTTGCCATTGTTTTCATGTGTCCTTCTATTTGTCTGTTTCTCTCGTTCGTTGTCCTTAGTAGTTTATGTCTTGTCTCTTATCTTAGCTCTTGTTCCTGCGTTTTAGTTCTTTGTCTTTGTTCCCAGTCCTGTGCCTTGGTTCATGTTTTGGTTTTTACTTCAGGTTCCTTGTCTGCATTATTCTAGTTTAGTCTGCTCGTGTCTGAGTTAGTTTGTTTATTTCTGATCTGTTACTTCTTGTGATATGGCCTGTATTTAGTGTTCAGTAACCTGTGTTGTGTCTGTTACCCCAGTATCCCTCTGCATGTCAGTCTCTCTGTTTTCCCCAGCTCTCTCTCTGCCTGCCTGTGTCTCGTTAGTCTCATGTCTGTCACCTGTGTTACTCCCGCCCTGCTCGTTAGTCCCTGGTATATATATGTTTGGTGTTTCTCTTCAGTCTTCATCTGGTCATTGTTCGTGTTACCCCATGTCACTCATGGCTTCAGTCTCGTCTTGCTATTTTTCTGCCCTTGGTGTTTTGGATTTTTGTTTTGTTTCTCATTTGAAAGTGTGCTCCCCTTTTGAACCGTACCTCCTCTGCCTTGAGTCCTGCATTTGGGTCCTCCAACCTGCTCAACCCACACCCACCGTAACACTAAGTGCTTTTGCTGCCTAAACCTAACCACACTAGGACCGCTTCACAACGTTAACCATGTGTTACAAAGCCCTGAGGCCTTAACTTCCCATTTGGGTCACAGAATCTAATGGGTCACAGATTTTGGTGTCACACCAGCAAACACCAGTGGCCAAGCAACTCTCCCTTGATTGTTGGTGCCTCATTTCAGACATTTTGGTCTCAAAACAAAAAATTACGCCTCCAATTGTGAAAGTGAATATCTATTGTGGTGTTGCATGCAAATTTGAGTTAATGTAGGTATGGTGTAATGGACAATGCTAATAGCCAATGAGGTGCGCTGAGATTGACATTTGCTATGTGATGGGTAGGCTATATGTCAATAAATTGGGGTTCTCTTCCTGTGTGAGTTCCAGAGTGTGAGTTTGGTTGGGAAATGAAGGCAGGAAAATGTACAGATAGATGGGTGGTGTTCTCAAGTGTCAACCTCTAACATTCTAAGAGGCAATCTGCAGCTCTGTGGATTCCATTGCGTGATGATCATGCATTTGAAGTACCTCCAAACCTGAAACCATATCCACCTGGTAACCAACCATAGACCAATTTAGCCAGAAAACTCCAAATGGGTCAACAGAACAAGTAGCACCTGGCAGTGACTGCTCAAATTAATCCCACATAGTCACCCAAGTGTGTAGACACAGTACAGCTAGACTAGTAGAGCTCAGTGGGGTCCTAACTGATGAGGGCCCACATGGATGTGAGACAGGCAAGTAAGTGCAGTAAATTGCATACAGGTGTTGGAAGCTGGGGCTTTATAGTGAAAAAAGTACCTGAAGGGAAAGCCTCTTAATTTACAAGTCAGTTTAAGCTCCAACCTTCAGCCATGGTCATAAGTGTGGGTTGTGACTGAAATGATAACAATATGGATACCATCAGCTGAAAATTTTTTTTGCAGGGTATTTGTGCTACCCATCATGGACAAGGTGAGGAGCTCTGATATACACAAACAGCTAGCTGTAGACCAACGTTACACCTATATTACTCAATATGGCATATATTTCCTTACTTGTCAAAAATGCCCCAGGGTCCCAAAGGAACTGTAACCAAAAATACATGTGAACTCCTCTTAAATAGTCAGATAGTTGCATACCCTTGCATCATATAGGTTTGTGGTTGCACTGGGAAATGTTGAGCAAACAGTTTATGTATGGCCAAACTTCCCTAGATTAAAAGAAAAAACGTAATAATGGGAAAACAATCTCATACAACATTTGAGATGGTATTTATGACGTCTTTCACAACAGATACTTGCATAGACAGACAATAAATAAAATAGATGGGACTATCAGGTTACAGCGCTTGTAGCCTGACCATCTGCAGGCATTTTGCTGTAATGACTCTTCAGTCTCCTGAGCTGCGACCTCTGAGATCATGAGGAGAGCAATCAAAGCGCATTCAGCTCTGCTACAGTCATTTGCCCACTCTCAAAAAGCTATCACAGGGTGCAGCTGTAAACATTTTGCTCCTCAGCACTCTTCCTGATACGTGCAGTCAAAGAGGATAGCAACTATCAGTCTCTATCACAGAGGAAGAACGCGTGAATACACTTTGCAAGCTGAATACAGTGGAGAAGGCAGAATACACAGAATAGTCCATGGTACTGTATTCGTTCAAAAGAGTGCAAGGAAGGCTACGCTCAAGAATTCCCTCAGTCTCTGTTGTTGATGTGCAATACCCATGCAATCTCTGTGTTTATGAGCAAGCCAACAGCTGTTTGTGTTCGTTTTTAAAAGGCACACAAGGACACAAAAAAAGCAATCATTTGAAGTATGCTTTCAAGTCTTTTTGTGATGTGTGAGCTTTTGGAATGAGCCTATATCAACTATTTCAGTGACTATTTATATTTAGCAGGTATGTAAACTGAGTCCTTTATCCACGCTGTTGGCTGTACATCTCCTTGACACATGGTATTGACACAAAATATTTGGATTGAATTTACTGCAATAATTGCAAAACACACATGACTTCCGACTTCCTGCCCCTGTGCTAAAGCTTTTTATATCATTAGATAACATCGCCCCCTTGTGGTCCTTTGTTTGGTGTCTTTTGTGCAGAAAATGCATAATGCAACATTTTCAAGAGATACTGAAAGTATTAAGTCTGCTTGTTTATTTAAGAAAGTTTTTAGGATACATAGCAAACACCAAGGCTGAATTATTATTTAAAAAAGGAGGCTGAGTGTGTCTCCTCACATGACATTGATATGATATTTTTGTACCGTGATGAAATGTGAGAAGACACACACACACACACACACACACACACACACACACACACACACACACACACACACACACACACAGATTTTCCGCTCATTCAGTAGGCTTAAAACAAAGCTTTTGGTCAGGTTGTAATCTTTCCTTTTCTTTGAAATCCAAAGGGACTGATGATGTCAGTTGGCCAGCAGCATTTTATTTAGGGCTGCAGCTCCTCAGACGCTCACCAGCAGCTGTTGTGAATGTGTGTGAGCGCATGTGTGTGCGTGTCTAGGACCTTCCCAGTCTTCTGATCGTACAACTTTGTCTGGTAAGCTAACAACTCTAAATATTGCTTGGAATAGATCGACCACATCCCTCTATGAATCATAATGAGAACACCAGCCGATAATACTAATGCTGAAGAGATAGAATAGACTTAGAGGTAAAAGCCTATAAATAGCAAATGGGCTATGAATGCCTGCTGCAGATCGCCTTTTGTGTGTAGTAAGCCTACAGAAACATTTGTATGTGTGCTCAAAAAGTCATTCTACGATGTAAAAGAGTAGCTTTGTAGAGTAGTATATGATGTATATAGTTTAGTATGCAAAGGGTAAATAACAATATAGTATTTCTGCATGTTCACTGACTTTCACTTCCACTAACTAGCTAATTAAAAATGTTAATCTTTTTAGGAAATCACATACAATGACTCTCCAGTGGACAGCTGTGGCTTTCTTCCTCTATGCAGAGATAGCAGTCAACATCATCTTGTGTACACCCTTCATATCACCACAGAGGTAAGGTAAATAAAAAGTTAATTCAGCAACTCATGGTCAGCTTCCAGTGCTGTCCCATTTTCTGAATTGATCAAAGAAATGTCCTGTGCAGGAGTTTTTAAATAAGAAAACTGAAAGAGCCAGTTCACACAAATCCCCAGTAGAGTGCATCCATGTCCTTTAGAAATACCGTGTATTATGACACTCACAGTATCCTTTTTACTTACTTTGTAGATGGCGTTTGGTTTTCAGCTGGAGAATATGGAACTGGTTATCTCCATATTGGAACAAATGCTTCTTTACTATGATCATGGTTCTTATTGTGCTTTTCCTTGGTAAGCAATCTGCTGTGAGTGGCAGTCAATGAATACAGCATGTTTTAAGTCCAGCCCAGCCAACAGCAGTCATGTTTCTGTCCCCTCTCTGGTCCCCTCTCAGATGCTGTCCGTGACGTGCAGAAATATTCTGGTCCTGAGCCCATGCACGATGCCAAGGTGAACCCAAATGTGTATGACCATGTCCACATGAAGCTGTTCAGAGCCCAGAGGAACCTCTACATATCAGGCTTTTCTCTCTTCCTCTGGCTGTTAGTGTTATTTTTTCCCACATCTATTCAGAATAACAGAATAATGTGTTCATAATGCGACTCAAAGGCAAATATTACTATACCATTCCTCAGATGTGTCTGCTTGCTTATTCACCCTTTACAATTCACTTTCTGGTGTCCTGTCTTGTCTTGTCCTGCCTTTTTTCCTTTCTGGTTCTCACCTTTTCCTGCCCTGTGAACTCATCACAGTATCATGCGTCGGGTTGTCACCTTGCTAAATCAGGTTGCTGTCACCTCTGAGAACAGTGCAGGTCTTCAGGTGGAGATGGACATTGCTATCAAAGCAGCCAAGCAGCACCAAGACGACAACTTAATGCTCAGACATGTAAGACTTAATCAATGACTGATGACAGAACTAAACTTTCTTTTCCTTTCTTTCCCAATGTGTACTGTCTGCAGTTTTCTCCAGTGTAACATAACTTTGTTTTCAAAATGTATTATAATTATAATTGTATGTGCTCTGTTGTCTGCTGTTAACAAACAATTTAAGCATGGTGATTAAGGAGAATCATTTGTGATCAGGCTCTTTTGGATGAAGAAAGATCTAAGTCAGCAAAAAACCAGCTAGTGAAGCTGGAGGTTGAGAAGCTGGTAGAGCAAGTGAAGGCCTCTGAGGAGGGTGAGTAATCATCACTTCCTTAATACAGGATGGTCCTTCAACAGCAGTCATGCCCTTTTAAACCAAAGAACTGTTGTTATGATAAAATGCTCATGAAAAGCTATAAGGATGAGAAAGCACTCTATTAAACATCAGCAGAGCATGGACCACCAAAGGTCACCTATTGCATACAAACACCAGCTGCAGTATTATAAAATATAATGCAATTTATAGATGCTGTACTGTTTGTGTGTGTGTGTAGCTGTGCGAAAGTCTCATGCTGAAGTAGAAGCAATGAAGAGGCAGGCAAAAGGTCTGGCACAAGAATATGACAGACTATTGATGGAACACCATCAACTCCAGGTAAAACACACACATACACACCCACAAAGATGAATTTTATATGTGCATGAAATTACCGAACACTGTGTTAACCATACTAATACTGGAGTGATTCTGCTCCACAGAATCTCCAGAGTGCTGCAGACAAAAAGGATCAGTAACCACAGGAATACAGTGACTTGTTTTCAGGTGTTGTCTCTCCTCTTTCCATGGAAAGATTTTCTTCTCATTATACTACAGCTGTGTGCTATGTACAGTGCACCACCAGAGGCCATGTTTGTTTTTACAACTTTCAACTGTCATTTACAACTACTTTTCCTTTGATGTTTCAACCGAGGCACATTTATTTAATTGATAGGATTAAACAAACAAACCGCTACAGTATATCAGATAAACAGTAGAATATCAAGTTTTCAAATACATCTTTTTGGATGTATCTTGTAAGTATCAACAATGTACAAATTAATTGACATGTTGTCTCAGGGGCTCCTGCTTATAGTTAATGCTAACATTTAAAAGCGATTAATACCTGACAACACTCCAGAAAAACGTTATGCTATTATGCTAAACTTTAGGTCACTGTAGACAAATAGTGCACTGGTTAGCTCAAAGATTTGACATCTGCCTTTTAGCTTTACTGAGAATCCTGGAATCTTTCTTTCTTTCTTTCTTTCTTTCTTTCTTTCTTTCTTTCTTTCTTATTGTTGACATTTTATAATTTGCTGACAGCTTGGTTGGTGTATGACAAAGACATGAACATGAAAAATAAACAAACAAATCCCCAGATAGTGTGTTTCTCATTTTCATGCTGCGATCATTCATGGAGTCACAAAAAAGGCTGGTACCACATTGACACAAAATAGGATTACATATTTTGTTAAACACAATGCAGTGAGCTTCATAATGAGGCACACAGGTAGATGTGGTAGGTTTTGTAACAAGCCTCATTATAAAAGCCAAAATACAGTATACAATATATAAGATCAAACTGTGTTCTGATATGAAGAAAACTAACATTTCTCTCAAAGTGATATGGTGCATATAGTACTGTATAAGCATATAATAACTGAAAAGACAATCCTGCAAAATCCCAAATTTATTAAATTTATAGCATATTGACAGACTGACAAAACAATCTCAACTCAAGGTCAACTTACAAACTTGTTATGGAGCAGTCACCATATCACATGATCCTTATTAGCAGACTGAGTTTGCGACAGCTGTCATGGAATTGTAGGTGCTCAAACTCTACATGACTCTGGCTGTCTATTCTCATCCATATTGACTTAAAAATAGAGCTTAACATTTCATTTTTGACCTTAGAAACAGCAGTTTCAGCTTGCTACAGTAGGCTTGAGAGAGGTTTGATTGTCAATAAAAAGAAATGGTATTCTTACTGAAGGAATGCTTTCTGTTACATCTGGACAGGAAGTGGTAGTTTCCCCTTTGTATGCCAATGGGATCATCTTTCAGAGGTCTGCTGTTCCTGTGTTGCTTCTTGCTTTGATCTGCCTGTCACTTTATTCGTTTACAGGCTGAACCTCATTGTAGTCACATTCACAGTTCCAGGTACGTCACAGAAACAGTCTACAGACATGTTAATTTAATGTATGTTTCTCTTCTTACTGACAGCAAAGCCACAAACACAAGACTGACATGATGACGTTTAACCATCTTGTTCAGTAGTGAATCCAAAAATAGATTTTATCAAGTTTAATCATAAAAAACGAAGATGAAAATACAGCACAATTACATTCTTTCTTTTCTACAAAAGTCATCCATTCATGAAAACCACAAACACATCAATTTATACATTCCAGAAATTTCATGTTTTGTTTTTAAAATGACTTATTTCAGATATCGCACATCTACACAAATCCTGGACAAATGTACTGTATGCTCTGTGTGCTATGGAAAGTGTCCACAGTGTGTGTTCCTCTATATATCTGAGGTGCTCCGTGGAGCAGAGTCAGAAGAGAAGACATGCCGAGGCTCACAAGCGAGTTTCTCGGTCAGGATTGCGGTCCAAGGCCAGTATAAACTGCTCACAGTGTATGGAGCTGTTCTCTTTCTTTAGTGACTCCAACTCTGCACTCCCATTTGCCAGAGCATATTTCTCCTCCCTCTTAATATGTCTTTTGAGTAGTGCAAAGCCTGAAATACAAAGGAAGAAGGAGACTGTCCTCAAGCCCAATGTTAGGCCTAGGTACACTATCCTGTAAAAAGAAGAAAGCAATACGTTTATAAGACAAACTCAAACAGAGTCAAGCTACGTCTCTGAGGGTCACAATTCCAGTCTCAAGTTTTTATAATTTATTACAAGTCAGTATGGAAGTCTCTTAGTTCTACGAATGTTGGTTTCCATTACAATAACAAACTACTAGTGATTTTGAACATTCCCTCTTTTAAGTAGTTTAGTGTTTCCCTTCAATGCATTTTACTAACAAGTTATTGCTGGTGTGTATAAGCACAACTAATCTTGCACCTCAATTCTTATTTAGATAACTTGCAGGGCTATTCGCTAAATAGTCTCATTTGGCGCAAAGGGAATGTTTCAGTTAGCTTCCAGGTCCTTAAAGGACTCACTTCATGATAGCAGCCTCTGACTAAGGATACAGCTAACATGGCTTTTCCATCTGGTACCAAATTTGCAGCAAACATTGTCTCTCTATTTTTTATCCACCTAATAATTTTCTTAATGAACATTACCGCCTTAAAGGGCAGCTGGCATGGTTATAGATGTTTTGTCTTGTTTCAAAGGGATCTCTAGAGTTTAAAAAAAAAAAACATCCTACAAAAGCCCTACAGAACCAATTACCTGTAAGCTGATGTGTTATATATTCTGCATGCTCCTCTTCCTCCGCACATCTTGTATCCCCATTTGAGGCATGTTGTGTCGATTGTGGCTCCAAAGTATATTGGGGCAGGTATTCCAGCTGTGCAATTAAAATAACTTGTTACTTCAAACAAAGAGCAAATAAAGGGTTGCTTCAATATGAGATATCCATCATTTGAGAAAATAGAATAATTGTTATTGTTGTACTTTTTATAATGATTATAATAATGCTATTTAATGGATGATAGATGCCTCAAACACTCTGTGACAAAAATGCTCACATAGGATCCTTTACATTTTCAAAATGTAAAATAACGATACCTGATTATAAAAAAATATAGAAATAGTTAATGATGAGCTTCAAGTAATGATTTGTTTCTATATTTTTAATCCAGTATTAATAAAAGCATTATTCCAGTAATCCTGCTCACACCAACATACAGTATGCTTAATGTCAGCTCTTGGGCGATTTCTGAGCACCTGACATTCACACTAAGCAGACAATAATGTACAGAATATCAAAGTTGGATCTCACCGAGGGTGCGAGTGGCCAATGTGTGGATTCCCAGAGCAAGGGATTTCAGCTCGGGCTTAATGCACCTACAGAAACAAGACAGCAGTGTTAATAGGAGACTCAACTTTTAAACACTAAAAGGACAATGATTTACAATTTTTGTACCTAGCAAAACACTACAAATGAGCATTTCATTGATAAGATGCTTTAAGGTGCAAAAGTAGAAAAATGCTTTAGTAATTTATGAATTATCTCCATTGATGATACTGTATAATTTGGAAGTGATACATTTTTTTTCTGATGACAGCAGGAAGCGTAATCTTTCCAAGAATGACAAGATGATGTACTGCTTCAACAATAAGCTGCATGGGAAATGAGTCTGGTGATTCCAATATTTTAGTCCACAAAGGGGTTGTCGATGGACCTGACAAGCAGCATGAAGCCAGGTGTTCCCCCAAGAGAGATAATGAAGGAGCTGAGGACAGACAGAGCCAGGAAGTAAGGAAAGATTCTGTCACAGCTCTCTCTGCGTGGACACTGGCCCAGAGTGGCTGTCAGGTTGCCTGGTTCGGTATCAGCCAGCGCTACACACCTGCAATTGTCAAACATCTAACAAAGAAGAAAACAATGTTTATTAATGATGAATGAGCTGCAGCACACCTCTGTAGGCATCAGTGATATTATAATATCAGTAAAAACTGCTGCATGACTGAATGAAACACGGTAATTAAGCCTGAAAATTACGCTGTGGTTGTTAGTCAAACATGGATGTGTCATGAAGTCAGTGGTGTGGGTCTGACCGTATTTCTGCCAGAGCCAGTGGAGGAGGTACATCCAGCCAAGCACGGAGACATGTAAGTGATCCCATTCTCTCCACACACTGGATCCCACTCCTTTCTTGAGCACAAGCAATCCGAGTTACAGTCAGAGAAGAGAGACCGTTCCTGATAAGTCAAGCCTTCCACTCTCCATGTGACAAGATAAAGAAAATGCATATATTATTGATTGCTGATATGAAAAAATTGATTTGATTTATTGTTTATTTGAAAAGGGACAGTGTGCACTGATCAACATTCAAAAGAAATGTAAATGTACCAAAGTTAGCCACAGGCTATCTTCCATCGGCAGTCCCATTGCCTGATGTTGTAAGGCACTCATAAATACATAATAAAACTAATACAACAAATTAGTTATTTTAGTTTTGGCTAATTCTTTCAAATAATAAGCCAATATGAAAATATAGATAAAGAAAGGCAACACAAACCAAAAGGAGCTCTCAGATCTGTGCTAGCTATAACGATTAATTGTGGAATTTTTCCTAAAGCCAAACATAGCTCCTTTTTCTGAACCTTAGCTATTTCACTAAGACATGAGGGAAACGTATCCAGATATCACATACCCACTATATGAAACTGTGATGCCTGCCACCTTGGAGTTCTCACATCCCATGGCTAAGAAAAAGAGTGACAGGAAGTAACCCAGCAAGGAGGTCCCAAAGGCAAATTTAGCTGCTCCCATGATACCCAGCTTGTACTTCTTCATGACAACCCCACCAGAGAACATCCCAAGGGCCACAGCCGGGATGTTGATTGTGCCTAGTCAAACCGCAGAATATAGCATATTCTTAAAGGGGTAGAGGATCAGGAAACAATGTGAACAAGCAACATCGCACCCCAAAAGGGATCAAAGTCGCTCATTCATATGAAAGTAGTCCGTGAACTGAAGTCATGATTTGAAAGATGAAAATGACACCCTCTGCACTCATTCTCTTATGCGGATGAAAATAGCTATTTTATTACACTGTCTCCAAATCCATCAGGTTGATCTAATGAATGGTTACATTATCCGTGTGCTTTTTTAAAAATCAATGCCTAAATGTCATTTCACAATGTCCAACAATTGTGGTAAACCTGGTTGTCATCTTGAAGCTGCAGCGTTTGCTGAAATGTGGGAGTTGGAGCATAAAAAAATTATCAAAAGCTCGTTCATGAAAGACTTATGATGACCATCCAGCTCACATGCCTTTGCATTCTTAAATACCTTCCTTTAATTGTAGGCAACGCAGGTTTTGAACAAGCTTGTAACATAATCACAAAGATAACCAGACAAAAAGCATCCAAACAAGGTAAACATTATGAGTGATCAAAATAGCCCGCTTACCCATGAGAAAGTTAGCTTTTGATGCTGACTGGCCATAGTGTTGTTCAATGTATTTTGGTTTGTAGGTGACCATCCCGATGAGAGAGTTGAACTGAATGATAGTCACGCATAAGTAGATGCTGTACATGGGATTTCCAAGCAGACTCTTCACTGTGGGCAGAAATTCTGTGTGGGGAAGATTATGAATACCACTTAAAACATAGTTGTCCACAGACCTGAGGACAATGTAAATTCATAAGAAGAAATAAAGTTTTTTTTTTTTTTTTTTTTTATCAA